CAGTGTTAAGATGTGAATATTTCTATGGAAAATGCTCATACAAGCCATTGCAATTTGTAACATATACCATTTTACATACATACAAAGAAAGACATCCGTACTAAAAGTGACATTATTGCTAAAAGTAAAGCCATTAGAGAATATGATACGTGACAGTAACAGGATCTGAAAACATTAACAGTAACATAAACAACAAACTGTCAGTCAGGCAGTCAGTCTTTCAGTCAGTTAGTTTATAGTGAAATGTAAAATATAAAAGGAGACAAGTAAGAGTGTTATATTCGGCTGTGCCGAATCTTGTATACCCACCATCAAATCATTGCCAAAAAGGAATGCTTCCTTATAAATAAACTTTGATATTTAAGAATCGATGCTTTTGTTATTATCAAAACAATTTTCTCACTTATTACATCTATGTATAGGGAAATTTTTGTCGAATTTTGTCGCTGTCCTTGTATTTTTAAGGTAGCAAAAGCGTTAAAATTATTTTCTGAGGGGACGTTTGGTAATTATGGACCGATCCTCGTCAAATTTTCTATAACGATTTTAGTTTAGGCTAGTAATGAGCGTTAAAGCCATTTTCCGAAGGGAACCGTATATGGAGGTAGGATAAATTATGGACCGATCGTTATAAAATTCTACAAAGCGATTTAGGTTTCTATATAATAAGTTTATGTCGAATTTCATCGCTATAGATGCTTCTTTTAGACAATTATGAACCTTAAAGCCATTTTCTGAAGGGGACCTTATATGGGGGGTAGGGTCAATTATGGACCGATCCTTATAAAATTTTACAATGATATAAAGGTTCCTAAAAAATATGTTTATGTCGAATTTCATCGCTATAGATGCTTTTTTTAGTCAGTTATGAGCGTTAATGTAATTTTCTGAGCGGTACCTTATATGGGGGTAGGGTCAATTATGGACCGATTCTTATAAAATTTTACAATGATATTAAGATTCCAAAAAATATGTTTAAGTCGAATTTGATAGCTATAGCTGCTTTTTTTAGTCAGTTATGAGCGTTAATGTCGTTTTCTGAGGGGGACCTTATATGGGGGATAGGGTCAATTATGGACCGATTCTTATAAAATTTTACAATAATATTAAGGTTCCAAAAAAATATGTTTAAGTCGAATTTCATCGCTATAGCTGCTCTTTTTAGTCAGTTATGAGCGTTAATGTCATTTTGTGAAGGGGACCTTATATGGGGGATAGGGTCAATTATGGACCGATCCTTATAAAATTTTACAGTGATATTAAGATTCTTATAAAACATGTTTATGTCGAATTTCATCGCTATAGCTGCTCTTTTTAGTCAGTTATGAGCGTTAATGTCATTTTCTGAGGGGGACCTTATATGGGGGGTAGGGTAAATTATAGACCGATCCTTATAAAATTTTACAATGATATTAAGGTTCCTAAAAAATATGTATATGTCGAATTTCATCGCTATGGCTGCTTTTTTTAGTCAGTTATGAGCGTTAAAGTCATTTTCTGAGGGGGTCCTTATATGGGGGATAGGGTCAATTATGGACCGATCCTTATAAAATTTTACAATGATATTAAGATTCCTATAAAATATGGTTATGTCGAATTTCATTGCTATACCTGCTTTTTTTAGTCAGTTATGAGCGTTAATGTCATTTTCTGAAGGGGACCTTATATGGGGGATAGGGTCAATTATGGACCGATCCTTATAAAATTTTACAATGATACTAAGATTCCTATAAAATATGATTATGTCGAATTTCATCGCTATAGCTGCTTCTTTTAGTCAGTTATGAGCGTTAATGTCATTTTCTGAGGGGGGCCTTATATGGGGGCTATGCGAAATCGTGGACCGATATTGCCCATTTTCAATACCAAACAAACTGCATCAATATTAAATATTTGTGCAAAATTTCAGCTCGCTAGCTGCTTCCGTTTGGACTCTATCGTGTTTTCAACAGACGGACAGACAGACGGACAGACGGACGGACATGGCTAGATCGTCTTAGAATTTAATGAGGATCCAGAATATATATACTTTTGTGGGTCTTAGATTAATATTTCGATGTGTTATAAACGGAATGACAAAAACAATATACCCCCCATCTTTTTTGATGGTGGGTATAACAAAACAAATAGTAAGGATACTAAAAGCTAAATAAATAAACATCAATTTTACATACAAATATACTATATATGTATGTACAATGTACAACGACGATATATACATTCATATAGTAATTTACATGTAACTTTATGTATAGAGTTTTGGTTGCGTCGCGCTATACCTTGAAGTATACTATACGAAAACTATAACTATTTGTTGAAACTTTGGTATTTTTAACATCAACTTTATGTTTTAGTTTTGTTTATTTATTGAAAAACAACCCAGCATAGTGTTGCTTCTCAAGTAATAAATCTTTTAAATTAAAATTACATGTTTATGTTTAATACACACATACATACATATATACATATGTATGTAGTATATTTATTATATAATAGTTGGCTTGTACAAATATTGTTTGGTTTCTTAAAGAGCTATGGTAAAAATTATTAAATAATATGGGTGTTTATTTTAAATAAAACTTAAGTTTAAACTCATATGACTTTGAATTTGCTGGTTTATTGCTGCCAATAAATTTTCTATCAATAATACTTCATGCTAGATTTTGCTCTTGAATTTTGTAAAACTTGCTCCACATTTTATAACATACATATATTTGTTATGTTATTTTGATATTATTATCGACACCACTATCATTATTATAATATATTTTTTATTATGTTGTGTTAAATTTGATGTCAATATCATCAATTTCAATATGTTTGCTTTACATTATATGGCTGTCTATCAGTATGACTATGTTTATTAAAATGTCCCCATGAATTATTTTTTTTTAGTTATTGATGAATAAATTTATTTTGATTTCAATATGACTTCAGTTTAATTGCAAAAAAAAAAAAAAAATAGTTTAAAGAAGAAAACTAAATTTGGTATGAATCTGTTTATTAAGTTCAGTTATGCCTGAAGACACACTTGAAAAATTAAACAAATATGAATGTATAGGTATGACCAACAAATATACTTTAACAATTTGTTGACAAAAAAGTGATTTTCTGAAGAGAGATTCTATCGTGATACTAGTGTTTATACGTAAATTATTGAGCTTTAAATCGTTTTTATACCCTACACCACTTTAGTGGGGAGGGTATATTGCATTTTTTGCTAATGTTTGTAACGCATAGAAATAATGGTCCTGTACTACCCTTTAAGTAAACCAATCGCCTCAGAATCATTTTCTGAGTCCATTGAGCCATGTCCGTCCATCCGTCCGTCTGTCTGTCCATGTAAACCTTGTAATCAAACTACAGATCGCAATTTGTAAGATAATTGGATGAAATTTGATACACACACATTACTTTTGACGCAAGGTCAAAGGTGAAATGATATCGGTCTATTATTTCACTTAGCCCCCATATAACTTAATATCCCTACAAAAATAGGCACACCTACATTTAATACCAGCATAAATGATACTCCAAAATTTCATAATGAGCGACCCTTATTTAACCTTTGGCCCTTGCAAAGTCCTCCTCTGAAAATACTTGAACGTCGTTAAATCTCTTATAAACACGTGTACTTTAATTAATTGACTTTAATGTCAACAAAAAATATGAACCGATCCACCAAATTTTGATAGGATCGGTTTCATCAAAAATATCTCGAAATTAAGGAAAAATACAACATAAATGCTTTATTATTAAAAATAATACACATTTTAGATATACTCATAACTGGTGTAGGGTATCATATAGTCAGGTGTGGCCGACTTTTTTACTTGTTTGAAGTAGATTTGAAGCTTTACATGAACACACAGACGGACGGACGAACGGACAGACAGACATAACCTAATCGACTCAGAAAGTGATTCGGTGTCGATTGGTATTGGTGGATATAAGACCATAATTTTTGGGTGTTACAACATCAACAACAACGAATAATTTAGCAAATGTGGAATTGAGAATAAAGATTTTCATATTTTAATTAAATTGGTTCAACATATCGAGGCGCTACATTACTCTCTACCTTAGATATGGATGTAAAAATATTTTTAAATTTTTGTGGAAATATCTACGTTTATATAAAATATATTATTCCAAATTTGAATCAATTCATTTTCTAGACTGTCACAAATGAGGTCCGATAAATACAAAAAATTGGCAGTATCATTAGGGCTAATAAAAAACTCAATTCTGGCAATTTTTTGCAGTAATAATGTATATTTGAAAATATTATGGGATTCAACATATTAACAACATTCTTTATTATATGGACTTAATCTCTTTTAAAACTAAACCACTTGTATTATTTCTGTATTATACATATTTTGTTTCTTATGAATTATAAATGAGATGTATACTGTTTTATTTTCTTTTTGCTTGATGATATCGATGATTTGAAATGTCATTAACATTTATAAGGGAATTTTATATGTTAAATTGAATCGATAAAACAAAAAGCATCAAAAACAATCAAATTAATTCGTTGTTACAAATACTAGGGATTTAAAGATTTAACGATTTATATATTATTTTAAGTAATAGAGATTGAAAAGATAATTAAAATTGATTTTTAATATGCGACTCTTTAGGTTGGCTTATACATATATAATGGCATTGAAAACATATAGTAATCAATTTGATTAAAGCTTAAAAAAGCTTTTAAAATTAAATTAATTTCGTTGCCGATATAAACACTTATTGAATGGTTAATATAGGCATAATTAGAACAATTATAATGGATAATCGACTTATTGTCAAAATTTAAAAAAATTTAATTTGAAGAACAGAAAATGTCTTCATATGTAAATTTGAAATAAATTCAATTACTGTAGCCATTGATATTTTAGGACAAATCCGTTTTAAATATTTAACTTCTTGTGATAAAATAAATTACTTAAAATTAAGAACAATCTAATTATGTGTGTATTGTTTTAAGGACTTACCTTCAATTTTAATCCAAAATTTCTTTGCTGCAATCTTTTAATCCTCAGGTGTACATTTCCTTCAAAGGAAACATACAACAAGAAATGGCGAATGGCAAAATGTCTGTCAGTCGGTATAGGAATATTTAAGAATTAATGTGGGCTGTTACTTGTTTTTACAGCTGACAGATTAAGTTGTCAGTGTAAACAATGACGTAACTTTTAATTTATAATATTGAGTCATAATGAATTAAATTTATTATTTAACGTTATAATTATAAAACGAATTTACCTAGATGGTTTAATAGTGTTGTTGCACAATAATATTAATATTTTTTTTTATTGTTTTATAACTTTTTTTAATACGTTATGTGTTTAAAGAATATTTGTTATTATTTCATTTCATTATAATCTAACTTGTATGATTTTTAATCCATTTTAAATATGACAAGACAAATATGTTTTATTTATATGCAGCAGCTGTTAAAGATTTATTTGTATTTTATTAATTTATTAATTTGTTCAGAAGAAAAAGGAAGTTTTAGACAGGAACTAGTTATTTGAAGCACAAATTTTATATTTTATTTTTCTAATATTCAATTGTAATTTATTATTTAGCTTTTTCTTGGTATAACACTTTAAATTGTGGTTATTTATTTAATTTTTGTTTCTATTTCATTTGAAATTTTTGTAAATATTGCTTTTAATGCAATTTAAATTTTATTTGACCATATGATAATAGTTTTTATTATTTAATTAGTATTAATAATTTAATTAATTGCCATTGATATGTTTTGCAAATATTTATTTTTAGAAAAAAAAGCACAAAATTCTATTTTGTTTTTTATAAATCAGACTAAAATTGATATGTGTCGTTAGATATAAATTGTTATATGCCTTAGGGCTTAAATATTTGTCATATTTTTTGTAATTATTATTTACATTTATTTTAATATTTAATAAATTTTGAAATTTAATTATTTATTAAATGTTTGCATTTTTTTCTTTTGGTATTGTTGTATAAACAAAAACTTTATTTATTTAGAAGCAATTTTTCTATTATTATTATATTATATTGTTGTTATACTTAAAACTTTTTTTTGTTTAAGTTTTATTCCATAATTTTTAAAATTTTTTTCTATTCACTTTGTATATATTATGCCACTGCTGCTGTGTGGATTACACCTGCAAAGATAAAAAATATTTACTATAAATATGTTAGAGTTTTTAACTTTAATTTTTTTTATAATTTATCAAGAGATTAAGTGTGATAACAGTTTGCATATTCATTTAAGTAGTGGCTTAAAAAATTTATATAAATATAATCTGCCTTATTTATAAACATTTATCAAAGGTTTATAGAACAAATTTTGTATGAAAATTTGATTTATAAACCTTTGATAAAAGTTTCTGAATAAGACCAAATATATTTACGCCCTTCAGAAAAAATAAATAAAAAAGTAACAAGTAAGAGTGTTATATTCGGCCATGCCGAATCTTATATACCCACCATCAAATCATCCTTATAAATAAACTTTGATATTATCGATCTATGTTGAATCATATGTCGATATTAATATGAACATCAGGGAAATATTTGGTAGAAGGAATTTAATAAGGGCTTAAGCATGGACCGTGCTCTTCCGAATTAAAAATATTAATTTTGTTTGATCCAATATTTATAACCATAAACTGTTTTTTTTGTAAGAGTGGTTATATGGTAGAGGTAGAGTCAATTATGGACCTATCCTTGTCGGTTTATACAATAATTATTTGTATCTAATGTAGCTGTACTCGTATCTTTAATTCAGTCATGAGGTTTAAAATATTTATCTGAAGGGAACCGAAAATGGGTGTTTGATTAGTTATCCTCATCAAATTCAGTTGAAAACTTCCAGTCCTATAAAACTACCGTAATTTGGAAGAACTTTTGAGCCATACATGAGCGTTAAAGTGATTCTCTGGAGTGAATCGTTAAAGGCGCCCCTATACGTGTGTTAATTATGATAGTGTTAATTAATGACCGATCCTAATAAAATTTGATAAAGAACTTTTGGCTTGGACAAAACTTGTTTATGTAGAATTTTACTTCTGTACTCACATTTTTGAGTCAGTAATAAGCCTTAAAGTCATTTTCTGAAGACCTTATATGGGGGTCAATTATGAACCGATCCTTATAAAATTTTACGAAGAGATTTAAATTCTTATAAAACATGTTTGCGCCGAATTTCACCTCTATTGATGCTTTCCTTAGCCCGTTATGTGCGATAAAGTCATTTTCTGATGGGGACTTTATATGGGCGGTAGGGTCAATTATGGGCCTATCCTTAAAAAATTTTACAAAGAGATTTAGGTTCCCATAAAACTTGTTTGTGCCGAACTTCACCGCTATTGATGGTTCTCTTAGCCAGTTATGGGCCATAAAGTCATTTTCTGAAGGGGGCTTTATATGGTGGGTAGGGTCAATTATGGGCCTATCTTATAAAATTTTACAAATAGATTTAGTTCTCATAGAACATGTTTGTGCCAAATTTCACCTCAATTGATGCTTTTCTTAGCCAGTTATGGGCGATAAAGTCATTTTCTGAGGGGGACTTTATATGGGGGGGTAGGGTCAATTATGGGCCTATCCTTATAAAATTTTACAAAGAGCTTTATGTTCCCATAAAACATGTTTTTACCGAATTTCACCGCTATTGATGCCTCTCTTTGCCAGTTATGGGCCATAAAGTAATTTTCTGAAGGGGACTTTATATGGGGGGTAGGGTCAATTATGGGCCTATCCTTATAAAATATTACAAAGAAATTGAGGTTCCCATAAAACATGTTTGTGCCGAATTTCACCGCTATTAACGCTTCTCTTATCCAGTTATGGGCGATAAAGTCATTTTCTGAAGGGGACTTTATATGGGGGGTAGGGTCAATTATGGACCGATCCTTATAAAATTCTAAGAAGAGATTTATGTTCCCATAAAACATGTATGTACCGAATTTCACCGCTATTGATTCTTCTCTTAGCCAGTTATGGGCGATAAAGTAATTTTCTGAAGGGGACTTTATATGGGGGGTAGGGTCAATTATGGGCCTATCCCTACAAAATTTTACAAGGAGATTTATGTTCCCATAAAACATGTTTGTGCCGAATTTCACTGCTATTAACGCTTCTCTTATCCAGTTATGGGCGATAAAGTCATTTTCTGAAGGGGACTTTATATGGGGGGTAGGGTCAATTATGGACCGATCCTTATAAAATTCTACGAAGAGGTTAAGGTTCCCATAAAACATATTTGTGCCGAATTTCACCGCAATTGATGCTTCTCTTAGCCAGTTATGGGCGATAAAG